TCGCCCTACATCATATCTTGTATAACTTATTTATCCTCTTTTTCTTAAAATATGTATTACCTATAACTAAACCCCTTTCTATACAAATTTCAATCAAAGGGCTCCCATTATCATTTACACCTGGCACCCCAAACTTACCTACCACATCCTCTCTAAAAGTTTCTCCTACTTTAGCATTCAGGTCCCCTACCACAATTACTCTCACTTGGTTCAAAGGCTCCTATACATTCACTTAACATCTCCCAAAATCTCTCTCTCCTCCTCTGCATTTCCTCTCTTCTCCAGGTGCATACACGCTTATTATGAACCACTTCTCGCATCCAACCTTTACTTTAATCCATATAATTCTTGAATTTACACATTCATATTCTCTTTTCTCCTTCCATAACTGATCATTCAACATTACTGCTACCCCTTCCTTTGCTCTAACTCTCTCAGATACTCCAGATTTAATCCCATTTATTTCCCCCCACTGAAACTCCCTACCCCCTTCAGCTTTGTTTCGCTTAGGGCCAGAACATCCAACTTCTTTTCATTCATAACATCAGCAATCATCTGTTTCTTGTCATCCGCACTACATCCACGCACATTTAAGCATCCCAGTTTTATAAAGTTTTTCTTCTTCTCTTTTTTAGTAAATGTCTACAGGAGAAGGGGTTACTAGCCCATTGCTCCCGGCATTTTAGTCGCCTCATACGACACGCATGGCTTACGGAGGAAAGATTCTTTTCCACTTCCCCATGGACAATAGAAGAAATAAAGAAGAACAAGAGCTATTTAGAAAAAGGAGAAAAACCTAGATGTATGTATATATATATGCATGTGCGTGTCTGTGAAGTGTGACCAAAGTGTAAGTACTCATGTGTAAGATACTCATGTAAGATACTCATGTGTTGCAAATGTCTTGTTCATCATCATTCTAGGGTCCTCATCAGATAATATCTGATGGGTAATTTTAGTGCCATCAGCAAATCTACATTTATCTGCATTGAACTTCATATCTCCCTAATTATTCCCCTCATCTGTGCCCTATATATATATGTAGATTGTGAATGACAAGGTTTGTAATACTGACAAGAATTCCTAATACAAGAACAAAAATTCCTAATACTGTGGAAGGAAGGCCTGGTCAAGGACTGGGCCGTGGAGGCATTGACCCCTGGACACCCTCCAGGTAACTCAAAGGATTTACTAAAGTCCATATACCTCATGCATTCTTTATCATGGTCTGCCACCTCAAATACCTTTGGGAAAACAGTAAAGTCTTGAGAGAGAATGAACATTCCTTTATAAAAACCGTTTTCAGATTCATTAAATTGTATCTTTCTAGGTGGCTTTGAGATGCATCCACTTCTATTGATTGAATCAAACTGAATATGATGGTCAATAGGGTGACCCACCTATTTTCATTCTTTTTTAAATGCCTCTCTTTGTACCCAAGAGATGTTTAGTTTGTTTATTCATTTGGGGTCATTTATGTGTTATCTGATTTGTGTATTAGGAATATATGGTGCTTGGGCAGGCTTGTACAGTGTTGGAAAACGTCACATTGGCAACCATCACCATCTTAACCGATTTTGCAGTTGATCCTCATCTCCACGCCCCCCTCCTTTTATAAAACATTTTAAGTGTAAATATTCAAGAAAAATCCTCTTTATTGAAATACGAAAATTGAGAAACTAGTTTTTACTTTTAACTGTTCATAAGTCTGTTTAAGGAGCAAATCATAAATGTATACAACATATTCCTTATTTTTGCTCTCGATTTGCACCCTCCTGAAAATTACTCCCCCCCTCCCCCCGGGTTATGAACCGCTGGTCTTTCCAGTCTCCCTCATGGTAATTTCTAGTTATGGCAGAAGAGCTTCCACATCAAAGAAAAATAAATAAATACATAAATTCTGACTCCAGGTTTATAGCATCAATAGTTTTACATAAGTTAGTGTTGCGAGTGAACCTGCGCCGTAACTCATGAGGCAAAACATTAATACTCAAAAAATAAAGTGTAAAGCTTTCCTATTAGTTCATCCTTGCCTAGCATGTCTGTGTCACCAGTACTGAACATGACAATGTTGTCGTCTAGTCTTATATTCCAGTGACAAATTCTCTTATTAGAGGTTCACATGCATATTGTCTCACTGTATGCTCTTATTTCTGAAAATTCTCAGGAGTGCTAAAACGTTTCCAGGGGAGCCATGCCCTTTCCCCTTAGCTCCCTCCCTCCTCGTTGCTTGACACCCTGGAATATACCTGGAGGGTATTCCGAGGGTCAATGCCCCCGTGGCCCGATCTATGACGAGGCCTCGCGGTGGTTCAGGACCTGATCAACCAGGCTGTTACTGCTGACCGCACACAAACCGATGTACGAACCACAGCCCGTCTAGTCAGGTACTCACTAGGTGTCTGTCCATCTCCTTGAAGACAGCCAGGGGTCTATTGGTAATTCCCCTTATGTATGCTGGGAGTCAGAGGCAGTCTTGGGGCCTTGCAGTGAAAAATGAATTATTGTCAATATTCTTAGAATCTTCACAGTACTTACCTCTGTAACTTGCTCAGCTATCAAAACTTTGGAGTCCAGTCCCTGGACCAATTATGTACCTCTGTAATCTTTTGACTACCGCCCACAGGATGGGTATGGGGTGCATAATAAACATATTAAACTAACTAAACTTACCGAGGTAGCTATTTTCTCCATTGACCCTAGATAGCCATTTGTTTCCAACCCTCAATCTGAGTAAAATGCAACATAATACCGGTATACCGCCCATTTCTTTAATAATACTAATAACTATTTCGAAATCTGGGAGCACATTATTACCTTCCTGACGCCACTAGTAGGAAGAGTTTTCCTTTAGTTCATTATTATTATTATAATAAAAAAGAAGCACTAAACCACAAGGGCTATACATCGCTGCTTCCTTTAGTTCAGATTTAGGTTCAAATTCAGTGAAAAGAATGTTAGTCGTCTTCACAATCACCAGCCTCTTTCTATTATGATATCTGGCATTCAGTTTTGTGTAGTAATGGGTGTTATAGCACTCAAACTATACAATTTATAATATATATATTTTTTATTTGTTATTATATTATTTTTTTATATATATTTATAATTTTTTGTTATTATGTTTGTACTTTATATGTACATATATTTATTATATAAATATATATATATATATAAATATTATTATTATAAATATATATATATATTAAATATAATATTATATAAATATATATATATATTAAATTTTTATTATATAATATAATATATAAATATTAAAATATTTATATTAAATTTTATTTATAATATATATATATTTAATAATATTAATTATTATATATATATTATATATATAATTTATATATAAAGGATGGGGTCCACCTTGGTGTAAAATTGTGGGACCCATAGCCTCGAGAAGTGGATAAAAAGGGTTCAAGGAAGAATATTTGGATTTCTTCCTGAAGCCATTGAAATATTCCACTTCCTACCACCCCATCTTTTAAAATAAATATATATATTTATATATATATATTTATATATTTATATATAAAAAATATATATATATAATATTATATATTATATTAATATATATATAAATAAATATTATATATATAATATAATATATATATATATATATATATATATATATATATATATATATATATAATATATATATAATATATATATATTATTATATATAATATATATATATATATATATATATATATATATATATATATAATATATATATATAATATATATATATATATATATATATATATATATATATATATATATATATATATATATATATATATATATATATATAATATATATATATATATATATATATATATTATATATATAATATAATATATATATATATATATATATATATATATATATATATATATATATATATATATATATTATTATATATATATATATATATATATATATATATAATATATAATTAAGTGGAGTGGATTATTATTATTATTATTATAATCAAGGGGAAGCGCTAAACCCGGAGGATTATACAGCGCCTGGGGGGGGGGATGTGGAAGGCATTCAGGCTTAATTCGGGGAACTGGAGCACAGATCCAATTCCCTAAATCAAGAGCCCCTCACCAACATCAAGGAACCTTCCTTGAGGGGCGTGGAGTGTGGAAACTGAGACCACTGCTAAAGTTTTCCTAGTCTGACTGCATGTCTATCATACACATTACCATGTTGATAACTGTACAGTTTTAAGATTACGGCAACTGTACATTATAATACTGAAATGCTGGAGGGGCTAAATAAACCTTTATAAGTGGCACTTAAGACCATCATGTAGTTACAGGGATACGAGGCAATATGTTACAGCCACGGCAATGGAAATAAGTCACTTTGACTTTCTGGGGCTATCATAGGACCCTGATCCACCACAAGGCCTGGTCTCAGACCAAGCCGCGGGGGCGTTGACCCCCGAAACCCTCTCCAAGTATGATAATTGTACTTATGTATACCTGTGCCTAAATGAACTTTCACGCCCGCCCTGGTAAGTGCTGACCAAGGTTACGAACATGTTACTGCTGTAAATAAATGTTAAGTAAGCTCATTTAGGTACAGGTACACAGTTAAACAATAATGTGTAAATTACTTAGGATAACCCAAGAGTTACTTATTTCCCATTGGGACCCTTGTAATATCTTATTTACTGCCAAGACAAGGCTGCTATGTTAGTAAGAGGGACACCATGTTAATAACATGACAGGCGTGCATAATTAGTGACACGTCAGCAGTGTTAATCAGTATACATTGTTAAGGACACGACCACCTTAGGTTCAGGTGTTGCCGGACATTTGCAAGATATTTGCTTCCTGAAGAATATGACATTAAAACAATACGGCAATATAATTCAGATCTATAATAAAAAATTTTATTGTCTCTTATAATACAGAGCGAAATTAAAGGCGAACAAGAGAAATAAATGGTGAAATAAGTTTTGTGCCAGATGTTGTCAGCCTTGAGTGTTGACGTCTGCGAGTGACAGCTGGAGGCAGCAGCAGCAGCAGTAGTAGTAGTGGTGGTGGTGGTAGTGGACAAGTGCTGGTTGTCTTCCTTACACTTCAAGTGTATAAAACTCGGTGGTAGTGGTAATGGTGATATTCGAGTGCTGGTAGTCTCCCATACACCACACACTCGGCAGCAGTGGTGGTGGTAGACGAGTACTGGTAGTCTTCCCTACACTACATACTCTGCAGCAGTAGTGGTAGACAAGTGCTGGTAGTCGTCCCTACACACACACTTAGCAACAGCAGTGGTGGTGGTGGTGGTAATGCTGGTAAACGAGTGCTGGGAGTCTTTCGTTCGTAACACAGCAGCAGTAGTAATGGTGGCAGCCAAGTGCTGGTAGTCTTCCTTCAACCATACACGTATAATATACTTAGAAAATGGACATGGGGGGTGGACGATTAATACGGTTCATGATAGTGGTGCTGGTAGTGGTGCTGATATGGAAGGTATGGGATTACTCTGACCTGCCTGCAGGAGAGCCTCCCCCTAACTTCAAGGTTGGGCAAGCTGTGTCTGCGGCAGCTAAAGCTTCCTTGCAAGAAAAAGGTGAAGCCGAGGGCAAAGTTCAGCTCCTGGCCCCTGCCCCAACCAAGAATGAGGAACTGGTGAGTGATTTATCAGCTAAATTTGCAGAGAGCTTAAGGTTTTCTGCCCTTTGATGCCAGTGAAGGGTTCTTGATCTAGAGAATTAGAGCTACCCTTCCCCTTAGATTAAATTATCATTATTAACTTTAAATGCTCGGATTTTAGTTTGAATATGCGTTGTAAATTAATCATCACTGAGTTGAGCAGTGGAGTCATTTATATTTTGGATTATGGGATAAAAAGCCATTTTGTAGCCCTCCCTCTTTCCGTAAAGAAATTTTATTCTTATATTTAGAGTTAAAATTTACGTTTGGTTGGATTATTGACTTTTTTTTTTTTTACCATGAATTTTTTTTCATAGGGTCCAAAGTGCAGTCCTAAAGTTGTACTTAAAATTTATGTACCATTGGTGAGGCCTTATTTAGATTATGCTACTCAGTTCTAGTCTCCATATTATGGAAAGGACATAAAGAAATGTAAAGTTGGAATATATCCTTATAAACTTTTATTTATAAATTTTGATATGAAGTGAATTCTATTACTTTCATTGTGAACACCTGTGCACTATTGTCTTTACTTTTGGTATCTAGTGACCAGAAATCCTGTCCTTTTTTTTTTTTTTTTTCATTCAGCTTGATCATGATTTACATTTAGTTTGTATGTGCCATAGTTTTCTTTTCACAGGGTTAGACCCTTAAATTTCTTTCACATTAAAGCATTACACTGCAACTGGCACTTTTTGCACTACTACATCAACCTATCCAGATCATCCTGTAACACTAGTTACTTCATGGAAATTACACATTTGACAGCCTATTTTAGTATCTTCTACAAACGTATTCCTTGTGTTAATGTATAGATTGTGAATAACAAAGGGTCCAGTATTATTCCTGTGTTACATTGTTAGTAAAGAGTCCCCATTCTGATTGCTTCCCATTTATGCAAATACTATCATTCAGCTATTCCTTGAACCATGAGATTTTCTCCTCAACATTGTACTGCTACTTTCTTGATCAGTCTTCTATGTGGCACTATCACAAGCCTTACTGAAGTTGTGCTTTACTGCATCAAATACCTTAGTGGGAAGAAGTTAGTAAATTCACAAGGCAGGAATGACCTTTTGTAAAACTGTCATAATACTGTCATTATACTTGATCATAATTCTGTACTGTACATCTTGCAAGGTGGTTTTGAATTACATAATTGATTCCTTTAATTTTTTCACACTTGAGGTGTGCTCATTACTTTGTAAATGGGAATCGCCTTTTCCATTTTCCACTTAATTGGTATAATACCCATTTGTAGTGATTTATTGAAGAGACTGGCTAATGGATTGTTAACTTCCTTTTTACATTCCTTTTGAACCCTTGAAAACAGTTTGTCAGGGCTTGCTGATGGTTTTGATACTTATCACTAGGAACTTTGATCATTTATAATTTATTTTTATCCAAAACTCCTTATATAATTACAGTATTGATTTCTGGAATTTTTTTGGTATTCTCTTGTGTAAAAAGGGAAATATAAGTGTTAAAAATGGTGCACTGTTTTGCCACTAGCTGTAAGGTGACCCCGAGTTACATTTAAGTGGGTCTATCTTTTCCTTAATTTTATTCCTACTTGTATACTATACACATATGTATTTGAAAGAATCTCTCTGGGTTGTTCGTTGATTCCCGCAACTTTTACCTCATAAACTCGTTTTTAGCTTTCTTTTTATTATTTTTTTTTTGTTCTAATGAATATATTTTTTTCATTTGGTGACCCCTCTTCACCTTTTGTTTGCAGTTTAATGCATTTTTATCCCATTAATTGCTTCATTTCTTTGAGGGCATCTTTTCTTTCTTGTCTTTTAGCAAGTGAAATATAGCATAGAGAAAAAATGGGGAATAGCTTTAGCTGATGGTCCCTGCTTTTCTTTGTACTATACATGTTTTTGTCTTTAGAAAATCAGACTTCAACAAAACGTTGTATTTTTGTTTCCATCCATGCTCTTCTATAAACTGTTCACCAGTGTCCTGATGCCTTCTGCAGTGAAAGTGTATTTCTTGTGTGCAGTGATATTTAGTACACTATAAAGTGGCTGGCATTCTTTTCATTGTATTTTTTCTCTATACTCTTGATGACCTGTAATCCCTGGTTGTCTTAATCAGAATCACTTCAGTCTTCGTAATCCAGTGACCTATAAAATTAGTGTGGATATTAGTAATGCTAGCAGTTTTAATTGTTGCCTCTCCACAAAAAAAAAATTGAGGGACCTTATAAATGACAACATTAAAATCCATCCTGGACCACTCCCAACTTGCAGCTGGTTGAGGATAGACTAAAACGCAACTATAAGGGTCCTTCCTCTTAAGTACGGGTTTTTTGGTGAATTGTTCCAGCCACAGTATTTGATTTTGTAAGGCTTCACCTATATGACCCTTACGGGTTTAGCATTTGGTTATGCTTATAAAATAATAATGAAGGCCTTGTTTAGATTATGCTGCTGCATTCTTTTCTCCATATTGCAGCATGGATATGAATGCTCTGGAAAATATACAGAGAAGGATAATGAAGTTGATCCCATGTATCAAGAACCTTTCCTATGAAGACAAGCTGAAGGCACTTAATTTGCACACCAGAAAGACAAAGGATTGGAAGGAATATGACTGAAGCGTGTAAATAGAAAAATGGAATAGAGGATATAAACATGATGAAAGTATCAAAGCAAGTTAGGACTTGCAACAGTTTATTAAAGCTGGACAAATTTAGATTTAGAAAGGATATCGAAAAGTACTAGTTTGGCAGTAGGTGTAGATTAGTGGAACAAATTCTTAGGTAGTCACTGGGGGGCGAGAACTTTGGTTGGATGGGTAGATTATGAGTGGGTGATTGGAGTTGGACCTGTCTAGCATGTGCCAATAAACCTACTGCAGTGTTCCTTCATTTTTTCTTAAAAGCGCTAGCCACAGCTTTGTATTGTCCAGTGCAGATGATACCAAAATAAGCATGGAAGTCTCACTGGTAGATGACAGGAAAAATTGCAAGCAATAGCATTAAAATTTACCATTGGGAAAATGAAAAGGTAATGCTCAACTGTGACAGTCAAATTGCTGAGATACATAATAAACTGAAAATTTGCACTGGATATAAAACGGGACTACCATCTCGTGTGTTGAAAGAAACATGTATAAGACTTTAATATAATACTAATGGCAGATGATCTATCATTTAAAGAGTGCAAAAAGGCAAATGCAGCTGAAACAAAAAAAAAAATAAATAAACTGGATAGTTGGAACTTGCAAAACTAGACAAGGCCACTGGTAACACTAATGTTGTCTCAATTGTTTGTTGCTGAAAGCCCTGTTCCAGGCAGAAGAGAAATAAAAGCCGAAAAAGACTGAAAGCGTTAACTGCCAACATAGTAACGTATTTAAACTGCTGGAGCACCTAAAAATACTTTTAAATATTTTCTGGAGCAAAGAATAGATACTTGATTCTGTATACATGGAAGATGTTTAGGTCTTAATATCAAATCCGCATACTATTATAATGTACCAGAGAGATATGGGATTGTACCGCAAACAGATGAAGAGCAGGGGTACCATGAACACTACAGAATACTGTCTTCTTTGGTCCATGACTCTTCAGCCTGCTACCAGCAGATATCAGAAACAGTGCTTGAATAAAGAAGTTTTGAAGAAGGAACTGGATCATTACCTCTGCTAAATGTCAGTTCAAATAGGCTATAATGGACATGTGAGCCAGTGTGTTGCCAACAGCAACAGCTAGGTTCAACAGGCAAGCAATAGAAAAGTCTGGCCCCAGGCTAGGGTAGAAAGACTCTAGAAATGGTCCAAGTATATAACGAGGAAGTATTTCCATTTTATGTGGTTGCAGGCCTCGCCTCTCAACTTGTCATCGCTCATGAGCCTTTTGTATCTATTCTTAAAATTTATGTATGGAGTTTGCTTCCACCACTTCTTTATCGAGGTCATTCAGCTTCCCGACCACCCGGAGGCTGAAGTAATATTTCCTGACATTCCTGTGACTCCTATAGCTTCCCACCTCAGACAGCCTATACCTGCCTGCCATATCAATTCCTCAGAGTATTTTGTACGTCTCCCCAGGTCCTTCTGTCCTCCATGGTCGTTAGATTAGTCCTTTAACCTTTCCTTGTAGCTCATATATCTTAGTTCTGAAAATAGTCTTTGTGCATACTTCTTCGCTTTCTCCAGTTTCTTAACATGCTTCCTCAGATATGGGTTCCATACTGGTGCTGTATATTCCAAGATAGGCCTAACATATGTTGTACAAATAAGGCATACTTATGAGTTTTCTTGAATTTTTTAAGTTCTTACCCTTGTAGTGCTTGCTTCCTTTCAGTTCCATAAGAAAGTAGGTGAGACTCCTTCGAAAACTGTCATATAGGGCAGGGTGATGGACTGATTACATCGTCTTCACGTCTCTTCTGCTTCTATCAACTTTTCTGTACTCGACTGAAGAAGCCTACTCTGTAGGCGAAACATGTGTCTTACCTAACAAACTGTCCGTATTTTATACCATTTTAATATTCAATCCAGCTAGTGCAAACAAACAGGTTTCAAAATTCGCATTCATTTGATAGGATGATAGTACCTCTCTAGATGGTTACTGTCTACCAACTTAATGCTCAGTCCATCAGTCTGTTATAGGTTACATTTTCTTTTTAATCTTAATCGGCTCCATGAGCCATTTAGGCTACTTTTCACATGCACAACTCCAGTTAATGATATTGTAATCTCTAATATATGGATTAAATCTTAAGGTTTTTTAAATGCTCAAGCTGTCCTCAAATTTTATCTCGATTTCTTGCATAAGATTTCAGCACGTTTTAAGATTAACGTTATTTAGATTGTTTAGTTAGGTTAAGTTAGATTGTCGTCCATTATCAAAAATTAAGTTAATCTACCAACACTACTAAATGAAATATTACATAAATCTGATAAAAAGTTTTGAAGCGCGATCAGAAAACGAAATCCATGGATTTCGTTTTCCGGTA